AACCTCATAAAGAAGAAAATGTCTTTCGGCTAAATGTGTCAGCTACCACATTAGTCTTCCCAGGATAATAGTCAATGATCATGTTCTGTCACATAGTTGCTCATTCAATGATCGAACTTGGAACCAGAGAATGCCACATGGGAGGATTATTCTTTTTTGAAAGCTCAATTTTTGGATTTTGATCCTTGGGGATTATGGATTTTGATCCTTGGGGATTATGATCAAATGATGACGGGGTAATTTTATGAGAGATGGAGAATTAGGGGAAATGGGTGCACAATTAGGGTTCATCGAAGAAAGTAAGGGATTTCGGCTTGAAGAAATTATGAATTTTTTGTTATAATGATTTTTGGTCAAGTTTTGCTTTTCAATGATTTAAAGCATTTTTTTAAATTTTCTTGACCTTAATTCAAATGTTCATGTATATGTTTGTCACTAAAATGATATCTTTCTAAGAACTGATATCAATTTTCAAATGCATATCATTTTGTAATGCTTTATGCATATGAGTTATGAAGTATATTTATGAAAATGCATAAAGTATGATACACTTAGATATATATTAAATTTCATGTGCTACTAACATCTTTATTCATCTTTGTTGAAACTCAATGTCTTTTAAGTGTCAATTTTTTTCAAATGACTTCATATTAAGTTTTCTACTTACACTCCTATGTTACTTTGTACCTTAAAGTTTGAATTACTTTTATATAACAAAAATGGGAGAAGTATAGGCTTCAAAAATTCAATTTCAAAAATAAAAAGGGAGAGCTTAAATATTTTCTAAAATATTTCTGTTTTTCATTAAGTGTTTTATTCTAGAAGAGTTTAGCTACTATCATTCATTTTCCAAATGTTTTATCATATCAAAAAGTGGAAATTGTTGAACTTATTTTGATATACTCCCTCCGTCCCACTAAATGTGTCTCTTTTGGTTTTTTAAAATTGTTCCATTCAAAGTGTTCTATTAGAAAAGTCAACAAACAACAATATTTATGTTACCTTTTTACTCTTATATCTCACTATTTTATACCTATCAAAATAAATCTGTCAAATCTATCAATAAACTTTTATGGATAATTTTGTTATTTCTCTTAGTCAAATATATCTCATAAAATTATGTATATAGTCAATAACAGACACAAATAATAGGACCGAGGGAGTAAAAAATTAAAGGCAAAATGTTTTTTAACTTGATTAATTATTCAATTGTAAAAACTCATTTTCGTCCATAATTTAATTTGAACCTCATTTTTTTACTAAGTAGCATTACTATTACTATTTATTAGCATTCTAATTAGTGTTATCTATTATATTATATACTTTATTATATTATATATTATTATTACATATTATTACTACTTTTACTATTCTATTATTATTAGTATTTTTCGTCATATTTGTTATTGGAATAATATTCCTTTTATTGCAGGTCGAGCTACAAACCAACCCCACAATTAATCGAGCCTAACAGATGCAATCCATTAATTTTAACATATCAAAGGAAACCTAGGGTATCGAATGCTAGCTTCCGCCAACCCGTGTGCGCACCACACTCGTCGATGATCCAACTCCTCGAAGCGCACAGTGACCGGAGAAACACAGCGACACTGACGTCCATGTCAATCTTGCAAGAAACCAAAGGAGGAAAGTAATCATAAAGGAGGATTTTCCAAGATCTAAAACTGGAATTTTGAATCCATTTGATTCAAATCCCTGAATATTAGGGATTAAATGTAAACGTGATTGATCTTTTCTATTGTAAAGATCGAAGGGTTTTAGTGTATAAAATCCGGCGAAAGTAATGTAAAGAAGGGAGCGATATATCGACAATCCGAACGGTGAAAAGGTAGAAGAGGAGGCGAGCAACATACTAAAAACTCGAGACGATCCATCAGTGGACGGCAACGAATCAAGCGAAAGAAAGCCGAACAGTTTTCACCCATTTCACGGTTAACGAAATTCCTTTTGGAGGAACCGATTCCAGATTTGAAATCTCGAGGTCGAAACAAGTCACCTGGTGTGATTTGGTGCCACCGGCGGTCGACGACAACGGTGGCCGGTAGCCATGACCGGCAATGTTAAGGAACCAATCGCATTAAAGGAAAGAACAAAATGAATTCTGTTTTAAACTTCCATTGAAACATAAAGGTTGTTTTGCTTTTTGCAGGAAACACACGTGATTTTAAACTTTGAGGTAAACTATTCTTTTCTTAGTCCCCTCTTTTTGATGTTGTACCCACTTCAGTCCGTTACTTTGTAATTCTATTTCAATTTTGATACTTAGTTCTAATTTTTATTATTTTAGTCCTTAATTTATTTTTATCTTTAGTTTATTATTCAATTTTTACTTATATTTTTGCTATGGTTTTTGAAGGTTCGTTTAACCTTTTTTTTTTTACCCAATCGTCGTCACTTTGTCCATTCTTAAATTTGCTTCAGTCAGATTATTTTGCCTTAATTTGAACCAGGCAGCGAACTCTGTAACGTACAGACCAGCAAAGTTTTCAGTTCCACAGAGAAAAACAGGAGTTAAAGCGAACCTGACAGAACAACATAAAATTTCAGCTGGCTTTTTAGTCTCTATAATTTAATAATTTATTTGAGGCCCTCACAAGTAGAAGATGTCAAGTTCCGACTATTGAAGAGCCTCTCACTTTCACCATTATATTGCATTTATGATATCCATAACACATGTAAGACTAGAAAAACAACTGTTTATTTACAAATAACCCCATTAATTTGAAGTGAGAAGGGGAGAGAAAAATCATATTTTGAGATCTAATGAATACCTCAGCCACATCTTATTTTGCAAGCAATGAAAAATCGAGCAACCAAATTACTCCACTATAATTTGTGTAGTAGCATGTTTTTTCTTCACATAATTTAGTCAGTCTTCAAAATGTGTTAAATCAACATGGAGTGAACTTAATTGCATTAGTGAAAGGATTAAGCACATCCTAAAGGATTTCATTTAACTTTGCACCCTAGAACATGATGACCACCGGTCCACCATGCAGGTAGTGGTGACAGTTTATTCTAAATGCTTGGAATAATCCTCCAAAGTTTTATAACTGATTATGCAAAATAATATCAGCTCTATGCAATTAAAACTGCTGTTTGTCCTATTTTCGTTCTCTAAGGCATGACTTTATATTTAAACGAACTATACATATAGTTTCATCGAGTAAAATGTACAAGTACCCCAAACAAATGACTATCTCCATGTCCATTTGGCTTCACTCCAAATGACAACATTACCAAGTGGAGTGTCATTCAAAATAAAACGACCAACTTAAGTTACTCTGATAACTTAATGGAACTATGTTGATAATATGTGACATGTAAATTCAATAATGGACTTAATCTTTTTCTTGACACTGAAAGTTAAATACTTTCTTGAAGAGAAATCATTCATGCCATACATTTTCTACTATAGATCTTAAAACAAACAATAATTAGTGTACTTACTCTTTGATATGTGTGATGAGATAAATCGAAGAAAAACTTCTCTGGTACAAAAAGAAGAGAGTACAAATTTTACGAAGAATCAAAGCAAAACAATATTTTTTTATCCAATGATGATCAAAGCCAAAAATACGAAGCCATTATGCAAATAAAACAGCATTTAACACAGTTCTAAAAGCCAGAAAATTTGAATGCAAAAATAAACAATCATCTTCTCCTCTCCTTGCAACTAATTTTACCAGCAAAAAGACATGGATTCATGCTTAAAATTGACCAATCAATGCAGACCGCCAATTTACACTCAGTTTCTCTCAAACATTAACATAGAAAGAAAATAAAATCTAACGGAATATTCGCATACTGTAAGCAGCTAAAATGTACACTAAAGAAAGGGAAATAGGAAGAGAGAAAACTCAGAACGATTTAGTTACCTTGGAGAACAATTGAAGGTTTGAGTCGGAAGAGAAGCGAAAGGAGAGGTTGGAGCGCTGAATGTTAGAGGAATGAGGCAAAATAGGGGTGGTTTTAGCAACGGAAGTGAAGGCAGCCGAGGTTGTTGTTGAGAGTGAAGACCCATATATCAGTCGAGCAACAGAAATGATAATACGAAATGTGAACGATTGGAAAGAATGTATTAAGAGGAGATGGAAAAGAGGGTTTTTGATGGAGAAAAACGGAAGGAAATGGTTTCGGGGAATCCATAGAGGAGAAAAGCGGATGAGTTCGAGTGTTTAGGGATCGATGAGATCTAAAGTGTTAGAAATCCGACTATTTATTATATTCTAAACTCGTCATTTTTTATAAAAAAAAGAATTGGTGATTGTCTAAATTAAACTTTAACATGATGACTGAGATACGATAGTATTTGAGATTCTATGATCAGATTTTATCATATCACACTCAGGTTAACATTTAACTCAGAATGCTATTAATTTTTTAACAAAAAATGACGAGTTTGAACATAACGAATAATCGGTAATAATTATGAAACTTTTAATAATCGAGAGACTTAATAAAGTAATATCCTATAGTCGAATGCGTTGAAAATGCATGCCACTGAAAGTGCCAAGCAAGTTGGCATGAATAGTCAAACAATATTAATGCACCGAAAGTTTGTTTGGTTTTTAGTTAAATTTTGACAATGGTAAAATCTCAATTTTAGTAATTATAATTTAGGGTATTTACAAATTAGTCCTTAAGCTTCAACTATAAATATCCTATCTCATTTAGCTTCAAAACCATCCCAAAACATTCTAGCTTTCTTCCAATACTAGAGAGAATTTAGAGAGTTTCTTGAGAGTTGTTTTCTCCTTTTTTATCAAGAGAAAATTATCATTGTTTTCTCCTTGGTAGATCGAGAGAAGTTGTAATTCCTATTTTCTCATAGTGAAATTCTTCTACCGTTGCCCATGGTTTTTACCCTAAATTTTTAGGGGGTTTCCACGTAAATTTTGTGTCTATTTTATCTTCATTTTTATTTTTTCAAATTATCAGTTATAATTTTTCTTTATCCGATAGCCGTCTTCCGCAACAATTAGTATCAGAGCCAGATTAGAGTGTGTAATATATGCTTATTGTCTTTGTGGTTGCCACCAAAAGGTGGATCCTCCAACATAAGAAAGTAAGAAGTTATTACCCATTCTTTGAAGGTTCCAGAGAACTATTCACGATAGTGAAATAGTTGGAGCTATCCGTAAAAGAAGCTATGACAACAAAATTTGATATTGAAAAGTTTAATGGAAGAAATTTCTCACTGTGGAAATTGAAGATGAAGGCCATCCTGAGGAAAGACGGTTGTCTAGCAGCTATTAGTGAAAGGCCGGTAAATTTCACAGATTACAACAAATGGATCGAAATAGACGGGAATGCTATGGCAAACTTTCATCTAGCATTAGCAGATGAAGTATTGTAAAGCATCGAGGAGAAGAAGACATCTAAGGAGATATGGGATCATCTCACCAAACTGTACGAGGCCACATCGCTGCACAATAAAATTTTTCTTAAGAGAAAATTGTACACTCTCCGTATGCCAGAATCTACTTCAGTGACAGAACACTTAAATACACCGAACACTTTATTTTCTCATCTTACATCCTTAAGATGTAAATTAGGAGAACAAGAACGTGCTGAACTTCTATTTCAAAGTCTACCGGATTCGTATGATCAACTCATCATCAACTTGACAAACAGTAATGTCACCAGTCTATTCTTCGATAATGTTGCAGCTTCTGTTCTATAAGAAGAAAATCAGCGCAAGAAAGGGGAAGATAGACAAGTAAATCTGCAACAAGCAGAAGCGTTGACAACGACGATAGGGAGATCAACAAAACGTAGCCAAATCAGCAGTCACAAATATGGTAGATCGAAGTCGAGGAGCATTAAGAATTTAAAGAGCTACAACTGTGGAAAGAAGGGTCACTTGGAGAAGGATTGTTGAAGTCTAAATAAAAACACCAATCCACAAGGCAATACCGCAAACACTTCAGATGATGGAGATGCTGTATGTTGTGAAGCGTCAACCACCGTGGAAGGCAGAAAAAGATTTACAGATATATGGCTCATTGATTCGGGAGCGACATATCACATGACCTCAAGAAGAGAATGGTTCTATCATTATGAACATGTCTTAGGAGGATCTGTGTATAGTTGCAATGATCATGCCTTAGAGATCGTTGGTGTGGGAACCATCAAATTAAAGATGTATGATGGAACAATTAAAGTTGTTCTAGATGTGAGACACGTGAAAGGCCTGAAGAAAAATTTATTATCCTACGGATTGTTGGATAATAATGCAAGCAAGATTGAAACACGGATAGGAATCATGAAGATGTTCCGTGGAGCACTTGTGGTGCTGAAAGGCGAAAAGATAGCAGCAAACTTGTACATGCTGAAGGGAGAGACTTTGCTAGAAGCAGTAGCCTTTGTTACCTAATGTAGTTCAGATTCTGCAATACTATGGCATCAGAAACTTGGACACATGTCAGAACAAGGAATTAAAGTTCTTGTGGAGAAAAAACTACTTCCAGGCTTTACAAATATAACACTTCCTTTGTGTGAGCATTGCTTAACAAGTAAGCAGCACCGGTTAAAATTTAACACGTCAAATTCTAGAGGAAAAAGTGTTCTAGAATTTGTTCATTCTGACGTATGGCAAGCACCAGTTACATCCCTAGGTGGAGCAAAATATTTTGTCTCATTTATTGATGACTACTCCAGGAGATGTTGGGTGTACCCTATTAAGAAGAAGTCAGATGTGTTTTTAACTTTCTCAATCTTCAAAGCGCGAGTGGAACTTGATTATGGAAATAAGATCAAGTGTTTCAGAACAGATAATGGAGAGAATACACAAGCGAAGAATTTGATGACTTTTGCAGGAAAGAAGGCATCAAAAGACAGTTCATCGTGGCGAACACTACTCAACAAAATGGAGTGGCATAGTGGATGAACAGAACCTTGTTAGAAAGAACAAGATCAATATTGAGGGATGCAGGCCTAGAAAAATCATTCTAGGTAGAAGCAGTCAATACCAACTGTTATTTGGTGAATCGAGCTCCATCAACTGCAATAGAGCTGAAGACACCAATGGAGATGTGGACTGGTAAACCAGCTGATTATTCAAACCTCCATGTATTTGGAAGTATTGTATATGTGATGTACAACTCCTAAGAAATTTCAAAGCCGGATCCAAAATCCAAAAAATGTAAATTATTGGGGTATACTGATGGTGTAAAGGGGTATCGCTTGTGGGATCCCACTGCCCGCAAAGTGATCATCAGCAGGGATGTTATCTTTGTAGTAGATAAGCTACAAAGAAAAGAAGAAGATGGTAGTGCTGAAAAGTCAGAGACTACACATATACATGTGGAAAAGGAGTTTGAACAAGGAGATTCTTTTGAAGCAGAACCAGCACATGATGAACAAGAACCAGAGAGTTCTGAAGCTCCAACAACTCGTCAATCAGATCGTGTGAGAAGATGTCCCAATTGGCACTCAGATTATGTTATAGAAGGTAATATTGCATACTGTCTTTTAACAGAGGACGGTGAGCCATCAACATACCAGGAGGCAATAAACAACTCAGATGCTTCACTATGGATGATGGCGATGCAAGAGGAAATTGAAGCCCTTTATAAAAATAATACATGGGACATTGTGCCACTACCACAATGAAGGAAGCCAATTGGTAACAAATGGGTCTTCAAAATCAAGCGAAATGGTGACGATCAAGTTGAGAGGTATCGTGCAAGACTAATGGTCAAATGATATGCTTAAAAAGAAGGTATTGATTTTAATGAAATCTTTTCTCCTATGGTTCGACTAACAACAGTTTGAGTAGTTTTGGCAATGTGTGTTACATTGAACTTACATCTAGAGCAGTTAGATGTTAAAACAACTTTTCTTCATGGAAATCTTGAAGAAGTGATTTACATGCTCCAGCCTGAAGGTTTTGAAGAAAAAGAAAAGAAGAACTTGGTTTACAGGTTGAACAAATCTCTGTACGGTCTAAAACAGGCGTCGAGGTATTGGTATAAGAGATTTGATTCCTTCATTATGTGCCTTGGATACAACAGACTTAATGCAGACCCTTGTGCTTATTTCAAGAGGTCTGGTGATAACGATTTTGTTATATTGTTGTTGTATGTGGATGGCATGTTGGTTGCAGGACCCAATAAAGATCATATTGAAGAATTGAAGGCACAATTGGCTAGGGAATTTGAAATGAAGGACTTGGGATCAACAAGCAAGATTCTAGGGATGGAAATTCACCGAGACAGAAGTAATAGGAATATTTAGCTTTCACAAAATAATTACTTGAAGAAGATCTTGTCATGATTCAACATGCAAGATTGTAAGCCAATTTCTACCCCTCTTCATATTAACTTCAAATTATCCTCTAGTATGAGTCCTAGCAGTGAAGAAGAGAGGATGGAGATGTCTCGAGTACCGTATGCATCAGCAGTGGGAAGTTTAATTTTCGCTATGATATGCACAAGACCAGACGTTGCACAAGCAGTGGGAGTGATTAGTCGGTACATGGCGAATCCAGGCAAAGAGCATTGGAATACATTTAAGAGGATCCTGAGATACATCAAAGGGACCTCAAATGTTGCATTATGTTACGGAGGATCAAACTTACTAATCAATGGGTATGTAGATTCTGACTATGCATGAGATTTGGATAAAAGCAAATCTACTATAGGATATGTGTTCAAAATTGCTGGTGGAGCTGTAAGCTGGGTTTCAAAATTGCAGTCAATTGTGGATACATCCACAACAAAAGAAGAATATGTAGCAGCTACACAAGTCAGTAAAGAAGCAATTTGGTTGAAGATGCTATTAGAGGAGCTTGGGCACAATCAAGAGTATGTCTCTCTATTTTGTGACAGACAAAGCGCCTTGCATTTAGCAAGGAATCCAGCATTTCATTCAAGGACAAAGCACATACGAGTTCAACACCATTTCATTCGTGAAAAAGTGGAAGAAGGGGCGGTAGATATGCAGAAGATCTATACCAAAGACAATATAGCAAATTTTATGACGAAGGCGATCAATGCTGATAAATTTACTTGGTGTCGATCCTCTTGTGGCATGTCAGAGACATAAACAACATGATGGTACAAGGTAGAAAGAATGGTGTGAAGATATGATTATTTCAATCAAATCTTCAAGTGGGAGATTGTTGAAAATGCATGCCACCGAAAGTGCCAAGTAAGTTGGCATGAATAGTCAAACAATATTAATGCACCGAAAGTTTGTTTGGATTTTACTTGAATTTGGACAATGGTAAAATCTCAATTTTAGTAATTGTAATTTAGGGTATTTACAAATTAGTCCTTAAGCTTCAACTATAAATACCCTAGCTCATTTAGCTTCAAAACCATCCCAAAGCATTCTAGCTTTCTTCCAATACTAGAGAGAATTTAGAGAGTTTCTTGAGAGTTGTTTTCTCCTTTTTTTTTATCAAAAGAGAATTATCATTGTTTTCTCCTTGGTAGATCGAAAGAAGTTGTAATTCCTATTTTCTCATAGTGAAATTCTTCTACCGTTGCCCGTAGTTTTTACCCTAAACTTTTAAGGGTTTTCCACGTAAATTTTGTGTCTCTTTTATCTTCATTTTTATTTTATCAAATTATCAGTTGCGATTTTGCTCTATCCGATAGCCGTCTTCCGCAACAGAATGACCATTTTTATAGTTTACTCAATATTTTAATGGTAAACTATTAAAACTATAACTTTCGATTTATTTTTGGTCACTTTATATCATCGGTTTTTTTTAAAAAAGAGTAATATTTTGATCTCTTCCTAAATCGTTGGAAGTCAAAAATTAAACCTAGTTGTCTCTTTTTTTTCTTTAAACTAATTTTCTCTTAATATTTTTGTGTCATCTTCTTCATTCTCTTTGATTTTTGTTTAGTCAAGGACGATATTAATTTTAATATTGATTGTCGACTGTCATTGATTATTAGTTTTTTTTATATTATGTCTTTTATTTTATATTTTTAATTTTTTATAATCTTAAATAATAATTTTTGTCCTCATGACACGTTTTTATGCTCTTTTAGCACACAATTTCTCTACTCTTGTGGCACGATCCTTATGGTTTTTGGTACTTTTTTCGCTTACCTTTGCAATCATTTTGGTGCTCCCACAAAAATCATCACGACATTAATTTTCAGATTGATTTATCGGTGGTCACGTATATTCTGATCTTCTCTTAGGTAAAAGGTTGTTTGTCGATATAATCAGAATTGTGTAGCGAAGCAGTCTGTCAAATTGTTTGGTTCACTCACCACTATTTTATCACTTTGTAAAGTGTCTTATTGGACAGAGAAAATGGGTTTTATGAAAGGTTATTGGATTCTTTTTTATGTTGGTCGTCATTCTCATGGAAGGTTTTGTTTTTCTTCGTATCTTTAGGTTTAATATTTTATTTTTGTACGAGTATTTTGGTGATTATTGTCTCTAATTTTCTCTCTATTTTTTGGTGTGTTGTAATTTTGATTCCTTCCATTATTAATTAAATTCGGTTTTCATTTTTCAAAAAAAATAATAATATGAATTGTTAATTTTTAATTTAATTGTTAAGTTTTAATTAAATTATTAATCTAAATCTTAAATTTCAAATAAAATAATCTAAAAATACCATAACATTTAAATGAATAGTTATCTCGACTTATATTCTTTTTTAAAGTAATTTAACTCTTAACATTTTATTTTAAGTTAAAATTATCTTGCATGGATGATATTTACTAGTTGATAATGATTAACATTTTTTGACTAAACACGTAAAATTATACCTAAATATTGTACATATAAAAATGATAATGCAAAATTATGACATGTTAGTAAAAAATTACTTTTAAAAAATATAAATAAATCCTATATTAAATTAATTAAAAACCAATCAGATAATGATAAGAGAATTAGAGGTACAAAGATTTAAAACCGAGTTTGACGAATGGGATATCAGTTTTAGTTTTCTACTTATCAAGCCAGCATATTATTTTGATAAATTATTACAAAATGTAGTATTTATTTGATACCCACAAATTAGGGAAACGCTCACGTGCGGCGTCTTAGTATATGGCTAAAATAAAACGTTATCGGTTTTGTTATTATTTTAAATAACAAAACCGGTAAAAAATGACCGAAAACAACATTATTTTGACTGATTCTAATTACTTATATAGGTAAACGCGGTAAAAAAATTCAGTCAAAAATGATGTTTTAGGTAGCGCTTCACTGAAAAAATCATTTTTTGACCGGATTTTTGGATCGCGTTTACCTATATAGGTAATTATAACCGGTCAAAATAATGATGTTTTCGGTCATTTTTACCGGTTTTATTCCGGTTTTGTTATTTAATAATAAAAAAACCAGTAGCGCCTTATTTTAGCCGTATACCGTAGAATTGCCCCACAAATTAACAATTTCCATTCCAATGTCAATTTTTAAACTCGTCTTCTTATTTATCATTACCATATGAGAACGCAACCTAATAAATTCGACTTAGCAAATGTAGACACCAATTTTCGTCATTATGCTATAACTGTATAATTATATAATGTATATATTATATAATATATATATATATATATATTATATCATTGCATATATATTACATATCATTCTTTCTTTTTATTTTGCAGGCCCAAAGCCAGTACAACAGTAGCCCACAGTGGACCCAACTCAGCTACCCAACAACAACCCGACCCGAGCTGCAACCCGAACTGGCCCCAAGGTAACCCGAATCAGTTAGGGTTTAAAACCCAAGCTTCTCACTTCTCTCCATCAGTGCCGCATCTCCCTCACGCCAAAACTGTCCCAGCCGCAACCACTCGGTCAACGAGGCCTCCTCCGAGTTTCCCGCCAGCGTGTTCTCGTGG